AGGTTTAGTCACAAGCACTTTTGAATGCTTTTTATTGGTTAAATATTTGTAAAACCCACTAACAGACATAAAAATGACCAATAGCAGTGGTTTAAAATTATAATAATAACAAAATGTAATAAAGAAAGCTTTGATCATTTTCCAAGGCACACCTGACAACCTATCACGGCATACTAGTGTGCCGTGGCACAGTGGTTGGGAAACACTGATCTAACATACTAACTATACTATTAAAAATATCTAATATATTAAATAATTTAAAAGATACATATACATACGTACACACTACTGTTCAAAAGTTTGAGGTTGTTTTTTTTAAAGAAGTCTCTTGTGCACACCAAGTCCAAAAATACAGTAAAAACATTACTGCTGTGAAATAGTATTGCAATTTAAAGTAACTGGTTTCCATTTTAAAATGTAATTTATTCCTGTGATGCAAAGCGGAATTTTCAGCAGCCTTTACTCCAGTCTTCAGTGTCACATGATCCTTCAGAAACCATTCTAATATGCTGATTTGCTGATAAAAACATTTCTTATTATTATAAATGTTGAAAAAGTTGCTTAATGGTTTTTGTGAAAAAACCAAGATACATTTTTTTCAGGATTTTTTGATGAATAGAAAGTTCAGAGGAACATAATTTATTTTAAATAGAAATCATTACAAATGTTATTTACTGTCAAATTTGATCAATTTAATGTGTCCTTGTTGAATAAAAATATTCATTTCTTTCTTTAAAAAAAAAAATCTAACTGACCGCAAACTTCTGAATGTGTGTGTGTGTGTGTGTGTATTCCCATGGTTTTGGCCAACACAAGTTTGTAATCTAACTGACCGCAAACTTCTGAATGTGTGTGTGTGTGTGTGTATTCCCATGGTTTTGGCCAACACAAGTTTGTAAGGGCAGGGTGATAGGCAAACTTATGCAATCCAGTTTGTGTCTCAGTAGCAGAGAAGTTAAACACTATTGTCAGAAATCAGCTTGGGATGTTAAGCTTTTCGACTTTTTGTGAAAGCAAGACATTATGTGCGCTTTTCAATAGAGCACAGCTTGTTTTTTTTTTGGCGGAAGAGCCTCCTAAAAGCCTTGTGCACTTTGTATGACACTTTCTTCAGTTTGTCTCTTCTCTGGGAAGATGAGCTCTCCACAGGCCACTGTTCCAACTTCCAAATCTTCATCAGCTGCTGTGACCTGGGCCTGACCTTTGCTGACTTGGGTCTCAGTAATAGAAAATAACCTCTCTGCCTGCATTACATAGGACATGGGAGTACTAGTAATTCGATTCTGCGGAAACGGGTTGATATTTGGAGAACAAATATGACCCAAGTGTGACCCAAGAAATTGGGTCACACTTCTCAAGGTCCTGGCCGACAATGAGGTTGGGCATATCGGGTAACTGACATGCTGGTGCTGGCAGACGTAATGTGTAATAAATACAGCCTGATAAAACACACAGTGGCCAGTGTTGAATGTGCGCAGGCTGTGAGATGATAGCAAACAGCTGAGGAAAACTCTGCAGATCCTCTTCAGTATGATGCTAAATAATGTAAACCAATGCCATGTGGAGCTTCCTTGAATGTTGATGAGTGCCTTAGGGTTTATGCTAAATTTCAGGATGCATCAGAATAGGGCTGCATATTTGAATAAACTGACTTTGTGACATTTTGTTTTTCTGGTATATGAAAAGATACAGGAATTGACTTGAAATAGCTATAGTCATTTATGAGTGAGTGAGTGATGTATTTATTTATTTATTTGTGTGAGTGCATCTGCATTAAAAATTGTAAAAAAAAAAAAAAAAAAAGCTGAAATATTGCTTTTTACTATGAGGACTTTTTTTAGTGCAAAATCCTTGTGAAATAATAATAATAATAATAATGTTTTAATAATATTTTGACAGGTTACCGACAATAAAAAAAAAAAAAAAAAGTGCTACCTGTTTTGAAATGAAGTGCAGCTGTAAACTGTAACTGAATGACGGGTAGCAGAAAACGGTTAGCACATATATTTAATTAAATCGCAGCCTGCATGATTTGAGAGTCACACGAAGCCATATTGCATTATTGATTTTATTTAAATATATTGTGCAGCCCTACATCAGAATACATGGTTACTTTTGAATGATTATCAGTGGAGAAATACAGAGGAATACTTTTTGGAACTAGATAATGTAGTTACATCATGTACTATGGAGTAACTTTTGTGTCTTTTTTTGTTACTCAATCCAACATACTGTGTTTGAAAGCAAAACTAATGAATTTTTTTTTTAAATGTCTTCTTAAGCTAGTTTTAATTATAAAAAATAAAGTACATTTCTGCGTACACGATGAAAACTGCACAAAGAAAAACAAAGATTTACTAGCATTGCAGTTTTATCAATTTATTTTTGTAATTAAAACTGCAAAAAAAAAAAAAAAAAGTCTTAAGGCAATCATGTATTTTTTTTTAAATTACAATTTAATAAGTTTTGCTCTCAAACAGTGTTTATTTAATTAAAAAAGACACAAAAGTAACTCCATAATCTACTAGCACAGGCTTATTGAAGCAGCCAAACTTTGACCCCTTGATTCACAAGAGTGATGTGTCCAAAAGTTAACCTCTGTCACAACACATTCTAACATAGGCATCCATTGCTCTTGGAGGTTGTTTGCGGGAGATAATCAGTACTTTTCAAGTCAAATGTCCCTCCCACTTTCCAGATCGTTCTTACACCCCTGATTTGCTCAGCACTGCTGGAGTGTTTGAAAATAATAGAAAGGGAGAGAGAACTATAAAAAGAAGGAGAAAAAAAGAGGAGGGTTGGAAGGAGAAAAGAGAAATACAGGGATGGAGAGAGGTGATTCGAGGGGAAGGAGAGATGCAGAAAGGAGGGATGAGCAGTGAAGACCAGCACTATGATTTATACCTTATAATTTTCTCCCTCACTACCTCCCCCTCTGCTTCCAACTCATAGCATTGCATTTATTTGTGTTTGCCTTCTTTCCCTTGCCCTCTCACATCCCTCTGAAATATCCCTTCTTCTTCTCTTCAGACGGGCCAGCTGAACATATTCAGAGTGACATTTAAGAGTCGCAACTCGCATAAAGTCAACACTTGTATTTGCAGCCCAATGTGATGCATCTCTATATGCAGATCACATATATGCGATAAGCAGTGTTGGGGGTAACGCATTACAAGTAACACGAGTTACGTAATCAGATTACTTTTTTCAAGTAACTAGTAAAGTAACGCATTACTTTTTAATTTACAAGATAATATTTGAGTTACTTTTTTTCCAATTTATTGTTTGACAGCTCTCCTGTCCCTATGTTGAGAGAAATCAGAAGATGTAACTGTAGTTCTAAAATAAATATGAATATGCATTAATTCATCTGAACAACACAAATATCCTTTATGTGTTTAATCCCACTCTATTAACCAATGTCTTTGCTTCTGACCTTCGATGATCCAGTTCAACCATACTAATAAGCAAAAATTACTCTAGACAAACATTTGTGTGTCTTTTTTTATTGCTGAAGTGTGTTGAAATTTCTTCTTCTGCATTCTACTGTATGGACGTAAATTTACTTTCCCTTCAGCCTGAGGCTTATTCATTTCACTTTTCGTGTGAATAGGCTTTTATATTTGCCAAAAATATAACTTTTTTTATTTTAAAAACAAACAAGCATGCCCTGTCCAGATTTAAAAAGTAACGCAAAAGTAACGTAACATTACTTTCCATAAAAAGTAACGTAATTAGTTACTTTTTTATGGAGTAACGCAATATTGTAATGCATTGCTTTTAAAAGTAACTTTCCCCAACACTGGCGATAAGATGAAAATGAAGGATGGAACTTGATTTTATCCAACATGAAATGATTGAATTGTGTGATGATATCAGGTGAAAATAAAAGACATTTCAGAGATAGAATGAATTGATACTATTTTATGAAAGACTTTGAGTAGTGTGCATTAAAAAATAAAACTGAGAACTGTTAACTAAGAACTCAGTTTTAAAATATTGCAACATTGCATTACGTTGTTGTTGTTTTCTTTTGACTAGTCTCGGCTTTAGACATTTATACATCTTTATTTTTAATATATAATTATTTTATATAATCCCTACTGTTCAAAAGTTTGGGGTCAGTATCACATTTTTTTTTTTTTTCAAATAAATGTTGTTCTTTTGAACTTTCTATTCACGTTTTCTACAAAAAATACCATGCAGCACAACTGGTAATATTAAGAAATGTTTCTTGACCACCAAAGCAAAAAAAATTCTAAAGGATCACGTGACACTGAAGACACAGGAATAATTTACATTTTAAAATATATTCTAATAGAAAACAGTTATCTTTATAGTTATATTATAGTGTATTGAAGTTAATATGAGCGTGTTACTTGAGATGTTATCGCCAGCATTGGTTAAAGTAAGTGGGGTTTTCATGTTGACTTAGGAGGCACTTAAGTGAGTGAGCAGCTAATGTGTTTTGGATACATTCTGTGGGAGGATTCCTCTCTCAGCATAATGTCCACCCATGACCCTCCTTCCTGAAAGCAGTTTGATGAGCTCCCAAAAGTGTCTAATAGATCGCTTTGGGTTTTATCTCTTGTTTTCATGCCAATAAGACTTCATTTGCAAGCTTGCACTGATACTCATAAGAAACCCTGAGTGTAAACAAGCATGAAAAGATTGACGAATACATCCAGGGTTGGATGAATGCGTTTGGCTCTCTTATATAATTAGGCCGTGAAATGAGTTCAGCAGCTGAATCTATTAACTTTAGCGTTGAAATAGAGCCCCTGAAGTAATAATTACTCCCAATTCATCAGACGGCGTGTTCTGTCATGGGCATTACTGAACTGAGATTCACAGGTTTTCTGTGTGTTAGGATTTTTCTTTTCAGAGCTCATTATATGGAGTTTCTCTTAAGAGATTTTAGTCAAACTGTTGGCTTGGTTTCTTTCTTAACCGAGAGTAAATGTTCTACCTTTCTGTCCGTCTTCTTTTGTTTCTTTCAGGTGTAATGAGAGGGCAATTTGTGAGCAGATGATGGACGTTGAGACGTCGTATACAGAGTTCATAAACTCTGATCGTACAGGTCGCAGGAACGCAGTGCCAGACATTAAAGGAGAGGCAGTAGCGATGGGGACCAGTGAACTAACCAAAGACATGGCTCAGATGGACCTGAAAGCTGCAGGTACGTCACACACCGCTTTCCAGTTCTTCTTGCAAGCCAGCACCTGTATTGATATTTCTCCAACATTCTCTTCTTCTCCTTTAGAGTTCTCCTCCTCCTCCTTTCTTTATCATCTTCTTCTGCTTCTCCTTCTCTGTCTTCTCATTCTCCTCCTTATCGTCCTCATCCAACTTCTCCTTCTCCATCTTCCCCTTCTTATTTTACCCCCTTCTTCTCCTCATTTCTTCATCTTCTCCTCCTCCTCCGTTTTCCTCCACCTTCAAATACTCCTTTAAAACATTTTGTGAATAATTTTAGACTTAGGTAGACTATTAAGTTGGGGTTTTGTACTAATGTTATACTTCAAATAAATATAAGATTGAAATTTAAAAACTTTGCTTTGTTAGAATGTTCACTGTTCAGAACTATGTATGTAACAAACAGAAATGACGTCATCTGTCTTGCATTTATTTGCATAAGGAGTTGCGACTGGTCCTCTTTCTTTTATCTTTGTATTAGATCATCCATACCTTTTAACATTGAAAAGACATCATGTGAACAAGAAAAACATACAAGTTTAAACTATAAAGTGGCTATAATGCTATGAAAGCTAGCCTTACCTAAAACATTGCAAATGCACATGCACTGGTATTTCCTTCAGTACTTTATTGGTATTCCGACGGCAGTAATTCACATTAGTAATTCTGCCAAACTAGTGCTGTTCATGTGATGAAAGAACAGATAATTTCTCCCGACTGCCAGTGGTCATATTTATTATGCAACAGTGCATCAGTTTGGCCCCTGTAATGACTTGCTTTGTGCATACGGTAAGACGGTGATACATGAACACATTACAAGTGTAGATCACAAAAGACGATGTGAACCAAAGACTGGCCTTTCTTTCACAGTGTTCCTTACTTTATCCAGGACACAGCTCTGTAAGGTCACAGTGTCCACATTGAACACAAATAGGTTTGGTGAGGTTGAATGGAGTCTGTCAGCGCTGACAAAGATTTATTATCTGCCCTCTCAACAATAACTGCTTCCTTGACCGTTTCCTATTCGTATGGGAACTTTTCAACTCTTTCCTACTGAAATAAGAGCAGCATCTGTCTCTATTTGACCCAGTTTCCTTAGTTCACATTCTTGGCACCATCTCTGAAATAACCTGAGACTTTCTTATGACCACGGGGACTCTGTTAAGAATGTTTAGCTGGAGAATAAGCCGGGCATGTGTGCATTTAATGTGGCAAAAAGGTTTGTCATATCTGTGTCTTATAGAAGGAGATGCTTCCGGATCTCCTGCCCCTGAAGCAGAGGCATCTAGGAGCCAGGATAAACAGGGGACAGAGGGACCGTCATAAAGATCAAGAATGACCTGGAGGAGAGAGGAAAGCTGGGGAGTTCTCTCCTTTTCTCATCAAAATTCTCCTCATCTTTGCTCATCAGGCAGCAGTGAAGAGCTCCTCTCATAGACTGCCATTAAGGTGGACGTCCACCCATTGCATGCTGTTGAGTGCCTAAGAGACAGATGGAGAAGACATTGCCTTTGCAAACACCACTAAATGGGACGAATCTGTCGAGGACTGTATTCATTCACAGCGCTGAGTGAGGGAAGATTGTTTTTTTCTAACGGAGGTCGAACAGAAGCACAGGCGTTTTGATATTTTTCCATCCTAAACTTAAACTAAGCAGTTCAATCTTGTGTTGAGTTACTGGTAAAACAAATACTCACGAGCTACTGTAAACTATAAAGTACCAAATATAGCCTTTTTGTTACAGGATGGCTCAGTGGAATTATTATTATTATTATTATTTTTTACAATGACCACTAGTTGAAGGAGGTCTGATTATAGAACAGAACTCCCAGATATTGCCTGAGGTCAGAAGAGATTTGTTTCTACACTTCATTATATACTATTACACAAATGTAACATAATTAACAATATTTATGTAGTATCTGAGTTACTGTTTTCTGCTCCCGGCACTGTTTTGTGGTTTTTGTCACTCTCAGAAACACTCGTTGAAACACATTGCATTTATATTGTGACCTATAAATCTAAGTACCTCAAAATAAACAGGAATGACATTATTGCTTTCAGTTTCTTATTTATTTATTTTCAAGTTGGGTGTGGATGTATTTGAATAAAGTATATTTGCATTGGCTTTCCATTTCTCAAATTTAGGAAAATTATGATACAAGTAAGGGATAATGTTCAATCATTACATCATTATACTCCCCAAATAAATATGCGGACAAGAAAATGAAATGTTGAATAGCTGAAAGGATAATTTTACATCTGAGTAAAAATGCACTTGGAAGATTAACAAACGCAAGTTTGTTTGTTTTTTAAACGTGAGCTCATTTTACCTTGAGCGCTGCGTTTTAGAACGCAATGTTATGCAGGAGATGCTGCAAAAGTCAGAGAACGGAACGGGCAAAGATGTATGTCTAGGTAGCGCATGCTTGCATTGAAATAGTGAGAAGCAGCGGAATGGAATGCGTTCTTTTTTTTTTAACGACACTTAATAATTGAAACGCAAGGTGGCGCCAGTTGCGTTTGTATGTATGTATTTTCAGCTATAACCGAAAATTTGTACATCAGGTCGCGCAGAGTGCCACGACTGACCGATTTAGACCCTATTAATTAAAACATTAAAAACGTCTCAGGTTACTTATGTAACCATGGTTCCCTGAGTAGGGAACGAGACACTGCGTCCTCTTCATAAACAGGCCAAGAACCACACAACCATTCAGATGCAAAATTATTTGTATTGATAGTTTATACAGTGACAAAGCTCTCAGGCCCTTCCTTCCCACATTTATAGTCCGTATGTTTTCCTATGCAGTTCACATTATACAACACAAAATGTAAAACCTGACAATGATTTTTCACTAGGCTGATTAACTCCATAACTGAGTTACATGAATAGTCTTTTGGTAAATGCCCTCTGGTGCCAAGAACCAAACAACCATTCAGATGCAAAATTATTTGTATTGATAGTTTATACAATGACTTTGTCATAGTTTATACAATGACTCTCAGGCCCTTCCTTCCCACATTTATAGTCCGTATGTTTTCCTATGCAGTTCACATTATACAACACAAAATGTAAAACCTGACAATGATTTTTCACTAGGCTGATTAACTCCATAACTGAGTTACATGAATAGTCTTTTGGTAAATGCCCTCTGGTGTTAGAACCAAAGAACGACCAAATTTAAAGGGGTTTTGCACATCATTTCATCATCAAACATCTAATAACAACTTTAATATCAATAGACAACTGTTACCCAAAGGTTTGTATATTGCATATAAAATATACATTAGATGAACACCAGACACAAGATCATATTCTGGTTTAATGTTTTGGATTTATACATTATTTCCATTGTAAAATTGTAGAATACAGCTGAGCTACTATTTAATTTCATTCTCATAGCACCATTCACATGTTATACAGCTTAACATGCTTCATATAAAGACTTTTTTTCTTTATTACATTATGGTCATATTCTGTGCGTATACTGTGAAGAGCATAAAGTATAGTGACTTAAATAAAAAAATAAAAATTATAGTAAATGTTTAGGCTACAGATATTACAATACTTGTAAAAATGTTGATGTAGATGAAAGGCAACAGCATTTGGTCAAACCCAGTATGCTGGAACAGCGGTTAATGAAATATAAAATACATTTGTAACACGTATTTTGATGAATGGCATGTTAACTTCTAAAGTTGAATCTTTGTTGGAGATTTTTATGTATGGTATTTATTATTTTTGTGTAAATATTTTGCTGAGAAACGCGTTTATGAGTTCTCCAGTTTCAAGGAATCAGGAAAAGGCAAATGTCCTGAAAGGCTCTGCTCGCTGCATACTTGTTTATAACAGTGCTGAGCTCAAAAGCCTGTGCTTTTCAGCATGCCATAGGCCTTAGAGAGTTGTTCAAGAAGCTCCTCTTTCTCCTCCGCGGGAAGAAAGCAGGACTTAGCTGCATTTATATTCTGTGAAAACAGAAGCAGACAGTATAATTCAAGTCACTTTTTTGCCATGATATGGTCATATCAGAGTTCATTCGAGAGCCTGTTTTGGCAAATTGTGTCTCACCAGTCTCTTGAATTCCTCTTCAGTGAAGTCCATGTATTTCTGCACCACCTGATAGTCCGAGTTCAAGGTGGAGTCAAAGATGGTAGGGTCATCTGTGTTTAAGGAGTAGTTAGCTTTGTCCTTCATGAATCTGAAACACACAACCAGATTTTTCAAACTTGAACTAGTTAACTCTGGATCATTTTAAACCCCGGGTAAACGGAATCCTAGGTTATATTCTTTAACTTTCCACGTGATTTCAGCCCTCTTTGCCACCTATACTACCAAAATGGCCAGAAACAGCACTGCTGCTTGTAATTTACCCAAGGTTACCCATTAATCCTGGGTATTCATAAACTTACGTTTCAAACTGTACATTCCCAAAACCAGTTCTTATTTGCATTGTTTTGAGTGTCACTGCGCATCCTCGTATTATATATTGCTTTGTTTTCCTGAATGGACTTTTTAGACTATAAAGTTAAGAATCCAATTTACTCCAATTCATGTGTTTTCCGTCAACATTTGACTTTTTTCCCCTCAAACGCTGAAACTACCGTGGTCACATTTGGTTGACTGTCCAAAGCACACGAATATGACGCATGCGATTGGGTGTATGTTGCTAAGCATCTAGTTATACCACTATAACACAACATTGTTTCACATTGCACAAGTTTGGCACCGCAAAAGAGCCACTAACCATACTCTGCAGTAGGGTTTCATAACCACGGGTAAAAAGTGGTGCTAAGCCCACTTCTAATTAACAAATGTGAAACGTTCCTTTAGGGGTTAAAAAGCAGGCTTTAGACGAATGATAACCCGGGGTTATGTGCAGTATCAAAAGCCCTGCGTGAATTGTCCAGTTTAATTCTGTAATGTACCATATTTCTGAGTGAAACATGATAGGCACACAACCGTTCCTAATGCATTAGATGGTGAAATGCAACAGAAATGGAGTCAGAATGGGAGTCTGCTAAAGCAGTGCTAAAATAGCTATTTGGCAATTTGTTAACATTATCTAATAGCCTAACTGTTGTTAATGAAAAAGTGGAATAACATGCACCAACAAATTGTTCACAATAGGACCAGGAACATGCATTAAAAAAGTAAACATTAGAGTAAATAACCCTATTCTCACGTGATGAGAGGATGTTTGGTGAAGTCTGGGTCACAGGCTCCTGTCAATCTGCTAGAGATAGGACACATCTAGAGAAACACAAGACACACACACCATCAGGATCACAATGACACTGAAACATCGTGTAGATTAATATCCATCTTTAAACATCTCATAAATATTCTGGTAACAAAAATCTAAATATTAGTACACTGAGAGACTGTCCGGTGACACCATTTATAAACAGATATTTAAATACTGTCCACTAGAGGGCAGTATGAGATTACATTTGATAAAATCCTGTTTCTTAGTCTTGTTTCTGGCTCAACAAATTTTGTCTCTCATTCTGACACACACCTAGTTCAGGTCATGGAGCACACACTTAATGAACTTAATGAGCTGTTACATAAGAAAGATATCAGTAAAGTAAGCACTCATAATGTATGCAATAAGGTCTGGTTATCTGTGACAAACATTTTTAAAGATAATGTATGTAAATGTGTGTGTGTGTGTGTGTGTCAATATTGAAAACAGTTAATATTTTACTTACTATTTTAATAATTTTTTAAATCTTCATTCATCGTCTAAATAACATCTTGGGATAAAAGTTGGTTAAAAGCCATTAAAAAATGGCTCCGATAATTGAAATTAGTTCTGATAAAAGCTTAATCATTGTTTGCAGATGCTAATTTTTTACTGACCCTAATATTGGGTTGTTACTGTATGTGAGCACTTTGACCGAGAATGCAGTCTTGGTGCAACATGCAGATATACATGACGCATTGTAAAGTTATGCACGATAATGGCATTTTTATCAGACTAATGATGTAAATGTATGTGGGTGTGTATCTCAAAGTGATTTCTGTAACTGTCAGGAAGCTGCCATCTAGTCTTACCTCAAAATGCATGTTTTGTTGGAGCAGTTGTTTATACAGAGCTTGATCTTCAAGCGTGTGGTATCCATGGCCAATGCGTTCTGCTTTCAGAACTTCCACAGCCTGCAAAGGGAACGCACATTATGGGAAGAGTTGGCACATAGTTTCAGATCCGAGGGTGTTTTCTTGTGTATTGACATTTTGAAAACTGAGCTGAGCGGTTGTGGTGTTTTCTGAAATATCTGTCTTTTTTGATTTAGTACTTGGGAAGGAAATGTACTTCCCAGACAGAACTTCCTCACAGAATAACTCTAAAGCTGATAGTTAAGAACAGCCTCAGCACTGTTACACAATTTTCCATCTGTACAACAGATAGATGGCGAATCGTTATGTTTTTGTGAGAAGCACATTTTGAGTGGTTATTGTATTCTTGCTGAATACTTTATAATAAATGCTGAGCAAAAGAGGAAACTCGTACCTCCTTCACCACACCGGCATGGCCCACTTCTCCAGCATGCACTGTTCTGTGCACCTCACTTCTGACTGCTTCCTGTCAAAAACAAAACTGTGTACTCACAGAACACTGCCAGCAATATCTGTTTTTCTGCAGATGGGATAAAAGCACCAAGCAGCATGACAGCATCTGTAGTATGTACTCTATTATTCTTGCCTCATTAAACAAAAGATATTGCTTTCAAACAGTGTTTGTAAGCTTCAGTTTAGATCACGGGATGATAAGGAACTTGTTTTGTTTCCCGAACATCTCAGCTGTGGCTCCTAGCATGCGAATGGTCTAAACAGATGTCTCTGTCTGTGTTATCTAAATTATGGATTATATAAGAGTTTCCAAGCCAACAAAGTACAATTAAATCTCCTAAAGTTTTAAATACATCAACTAATCAAAGTTTTACAGTGATGTTAGACTTGTACATGTAAAGCACTTCAAATAGGCAAAGTGATTCATTTTTGCTAGGAAGGGAACTCAAGGAAAAAGAAGATGTT